AGTCTGGTTGCTTGCACAGCTTTGAAATCAAGCCAAAAAATACAAATAATGGAGAAGAATATGATGATTGGTTTGAACACAGATGTTGAAAAAAAAAAGTAATAGATGCCAACAAGACTTAAATGGTAAAATGACATCCAAATGAGTCTTTATGATAGCTGCTTACTAATGCACTGAGAAGAAGAAGGAAGTTTAAACAATAAGGATAGTAGCCAAATCTTATACTGCAACCTTGGCCTGTTCCTCAGACCCATCCCTCAGTACTTTACCCCCAATCATGATAGTAACCCCTCTGAAAACTGAAGACTTTGATGTGGCCCCTAACAGAATTATTCCTATCACTGTGATATAATGACAGGAAGTGTAAACAAAAGTAAACATGGGCAAACAGGCCGCACATGCACCTTCCTCCCAAAATTTAATCGCGTGCCATCCCCACCACCACATACACCCCCACAGAGACGCACAGGGACATAGACATGCACTGTCATGCATATATATATGTACATATGAAAAGGTAAACTTGGCATACCCTTCTCAGATTTTTTTTCCCCACTCTGAGAGATATTGAGTGGAAAAAAGTCTTCCTTTGGAGGCCTCAGCACCTGCCCTTACTCAGCCCCAACCACTTCAGCTTCCACCCTCCATCCTCAGCCCTCCCTTCCCCCTCCTCCCACTCTCCTTCCCTGGGTCAGTCCTAGCTTTCAGTCCCAGCCCAGGCCTCGTATTATCCTGAACCCCTCGCCACCACCACTACGGCCGTGCATGAAGGGACGGATGGAGTATTCAGCGGGCGAACCAGGCCTTTTGTCTCTGCCTGTGCAGGGAGTGGGGTGGGGGGAGGTGGTGAGAGGACTCTCCACTTTGGCTCTGAAACAGCAGCAGCTGGTGCAGAGAAAGAAGAGAGCGAGAGAGGGAGGCAAAAACACAGGGAGGTGGGGGAGGCGGAGAGGAAATGGAGGAAAAGGAAATGAGCGCGAGCGTATAATAAGGGTCTGATTTTGTGCACCGTGTTCATATATTTACGCTACAGAACACCAATATAAGTCAATAAATGATGTTAACACAGGATCACCGCTGATGTCCATGTTCTGATCCTGCGCATTTTTCCCCAGTGATACATAACACACAGAAACAAAATGTATAAATAGCCCAGGCCTCTGTTTAGGCCCAACGGTCTGTGTGCCGCTGCCACCGAGACTCTTGCCAGCGTTTTTGTTGTTAAACATTAAAGCACTGGCATTGATGGTCAAACAGCTGCCCAGCTTTTAACGGCACACAAAATATTCATGAGGTGTGACTGCAATGCAAAGGACGTCTGCAGACATGAGCTCAATCATCCTGATCCGATGATTCTTCTAGCCCACACAGCAAAGCACAGAAATAACATACCAATGACAAGCTAATCACAAGGTATAACATACAACATCGATGACAATACGTGTGATAAAATTGGTGCGCAAAATCAAATAGCTCATAACCTACCTGGCAGACTGCACGAAGAGGCTTTCAGCAGAATAAGACTGACTCTCTTTGGCCTGCTACCAGTCCTTGATACATCTGGCAGAGCCACCAAAGGCAGCCTCGAATGCTGCAGCTTAAACTAATTATCCTTCATTATGTAAGCACCATGCCAGATTTATTCGTCAGACAACACAAATGCATTTTTTACACTGAAAGGGGAGCTGGAGCTGAGAATGTATATTATAAAAAGGCCCTCATGGTTCCTCCTGTCTCTCTACACTGTGACAGATTCAGTGCAGGAGAAGAGGCTGAGGTTGCTCCCCACCCCCTAACACAGACAAAGTCACATGACGTCATGTTGTCTCCATTCATGCAGGGCATAAGAGGAGCTGCTAGAAGCAAGCCATCTCCTGCCCCACCAGATTTCCTGTTTGAGATATTATCACTTGAATGTGTTTTCCCAATGCTTTAAAGGGAGGCAGAAGAAACGCCAACAATGTATTCCTGATTTGTTTGACACTTTTTCTTATTTCTATCATGTAATTATGGAGTTACATGATATAGAGTATATAGACTATTATAAGTGGCAGCTACAAAAACATCTGACTACAGTATCACTTTACAGTAGGTACAACTGGGTACTAAAAATGAATAAAGGACATCCTAGTAGATAATGAGTGCTTCAGTACTTCCCTATAAACTGTGCAGGATGCTGTGTTTTTCTTTCTATTCTTTTTTTTAACTGGAGAACCAACTGGAAGATATGTTCAGTATTTGTTCATGCATAGTTCTAGATGAACTCTTTTATCTGCTTAATTTTTTATGGATCATTTAGTGAAACATGGTTGTTACTCAGTAGTGTCTCATTATTTAATGATTATGTCAGCAATACTGACTGTTTATGTGTGCTGAAGAAAACTGAAGCAGTATACCTAGTAGATAGTATACTTTATTGCTTATATTTACAGTTAGGTCCATAAGTTATTGAACACAAGTGTTGTGATTTTTACCTCTGCACACCACCATGTGGATTTTAAATTAAACTATCAAGATACCATGAAGTGCAGATGTTTAAATTCAAGGTGTGTTATACATAAGAAGCACTTGGTCAGGAGAAGACACGGAGTTTCATGTTCAGGAATAGCCTGATCCTTTATCATTTCATAACAAATTAACCCTATAATGTCATGTGAATGGGTGTGTGGCAAACAGAGGGTTGACCCAGATGCAGGACTTAGCAGACTGACGTAACTCAAAACCGCAGCTTTGTTTTAACACTGGTAAAACTGTGCAGGAAACAAAAACCAAAAACAATATCTGAGCTGAACAGGAACAAACTGACTTGAGGCTAAGCAGGCGGCATAAAACTCATACAGCATGAGGGAGGACACGAGAAAGAATAGAGGGAGACACAGATTGTCGACAGTGTAGCCACATTTACCCATAATGAAATTCTTTGGCTCGTGCTCCTCAGCTTTACATGAGCATATAGAAAGTGTGCAGTTATATTAAGAAGAAAATAACAGAAAGGAACAGTAATAATAATAATAATAATAATAATAATAATAATAATAATAATAATGATAAAGAGAAAAAAGAGAGAAAAATAGTATAATATAATATTTAGAGAATTTAAGACAATTGTTGGTATTTACAGTTTGTGCAAAAACCTGTGCAATGAGCATTTAAGTGGCATTTGTTGAAGTGACAGTGTGCAGAGTATAGTGAGTGTGTAATGGTGTGTGCAGAATGCCAGCAGTTCAAAAGCCTGGAGGCTTGTGGGTAGAAACTATCTCTGTGTCTGCTAGTGCGGGTCTGAATGCTGCTAAACCGCCTGCCGGACGGCAGGAGTGTGAAAAGTCTGTGGCTGCGGTGGCTGGGATCAGAGAGGATCCGCTGTGTCATACCAGACGAGACAAGGGAAGCAAAACTGAACATCACCCACATGAGACAGGAGACTATCAAAATAAAACAGGAAATAACACACACTGAGTCCAGATCAAGACAACTTGACAAACAGACATGAAGATATGACTGACAAAAGGATAAAACATAGATTATAACAGGAAAATTAAGGGATAAACTTCTTTGACTCATTTGATGAGTTAGAGCAAGCCATCATGGCATTTGTATCAAAACAACCCACTGTAGGTTCCTTATGCAATAAAATGAAAGCAATATTGTGTTTTTGTCTTTCTGAAAAGATTTCACACTCAAAACTGTGACAAACACAAAGCAAACTGTTCATTTTAATGAACGCTGCCAAAAAGACCACCATTTAAAAGTCAGTGTTCGTGACACCACTATCACACTGCTTAATGCGTCATATGACATGATACTCACAGCTCAAAACTCATATTAAAATAATTATATACTAAGCTGAAAAAATACTATATAACAGTAATAACAAAAATTAGATTGTAGACTTATCAAACAAGTAAAATCAATAGTTTCATGCCTTTTGACATCACATATTATACTTATATTGCAACTCTTAGTTCAATCACAAATTTAGTCTTCTGTAAATTCACCCCACACTGCCATCTGCTGTTTAAAATCCCAACAAAGGGAGCGCAATATAGAGCTTTACAGTTGAACGTGTTAAGATTATTTTTTTTTTATGATAAACATGGTAGGGTATGGCAACCTGTGGTGAAGAATTGCCTTTTATGCTTGAAAATTACTAGTAAAACTTTCAAAGTTCACTTTATTCAGTCACAACCTATAATTATTACTTTCCAAATACAAAATGCTGATTGATGTGGACAATTATTCTTTCAGAGAAGTCATTTAAGTTGGTTTAATTATGAGGCTGAAAGTTAAAAAAAAAAAGAAAAAAAAAAGTGACCTCTAGTACAAGTGATCAAATCCAGGCAATCAGATATGAGTAGGTGTTAGTGAATCGTTGAATGAGTTAATGAAAACCTCCTTCACTTCTCAGTGTGGGGTAATCCAAATTTCATACTTTCACTAGGTGATAATGTAATTTCATTATGTTTTTTTCGTCTTGTTCCTTTTTTTGTTGGTAAAATGTTCCAAGTGAGCAGTTACAGTAAAAAAGGTGAAAGTGATAAATTAAACTATGGCTTTATGAATGATTTTACAGAATAACCTCCAACTGAACCTTGTATTTCTTGCATCTTGCATATTCCTGGTCTTTTTTTTTTACATTTTTCTTTCTGTTACATGAGCTTGTTTTCTTCCATAAAAATAAACCAACAAATATTTGATAAGACGCTGCACTGCGCGTCCTATCTGTCGCTGCCCTTTAAACATAGGTGACTCATCCTGCTTTGTTAAGGTCATTCTTGAACAAGGATATGATATTAGGAGCCATACGCACTCGAATTTTCTGCTGGGTTGTGTGTGGACTTATCCAGATGGAACCCTTAGTCTTTTCAACACAAAACTGTATTTCCCTGCATGGAGTCCTTATCTGTCCTCATCATTTCTGTACCTCCAGCAATCTGTATGTCAATAAAGTCATGAAAGGGATCAGTCAAGCACGAGAATTTCACACGGGTTAATTCTACAAAGTGTTAAACTTGGCTGTGTCCCGAGTTTTTTGGGATGTGTTGCTGCCATCAAATTCAAAATAAGATAATGTTTTTCTTAGAATTGTACATTTTGTCAGTTAAAATATTTGATACATTTTCTGTGATCTATTGTGAATAAAATATGGGCTTATGTGATTTGCAAATGATTGTATTTTTGCAAAAATATTTTCAGAATTAGGTTCTATTTTACATATTTTTGATGATAGATACAGCATGTGAAGACCTACTTGGGCTCGCCTGCCTTCAGTCCTGGATGCTGTGTATATGCATGTGAGTGTGTTCCCGGTGCAGACTTGAAGGCCATGGGACAGAGAGGACATTTAAAGAAGACCTCACAGTGAGCACTTTGTATGTGGGACTTTAGAGTTGCGACATCAGCAAAGATCACACTACAGTGGATACAGCTGGAGGGACAAAGAATGGAGAAAGGAAGAACAGGTAAGATATTGACTCAAATTACATTTTATGAATCAATTCAGCACATTCTCCTAACAGAAACTTTGTTGATATGAATTCAAAATGGTCATTGACTTTGTGCCATCAAAAGTCCAGCACTTTAGTCTGCAAAAGACTCGTGTCAAACTTGGACCTGATTCTTGAGTTTATAGTAAAATATATGAATAAATATGCATAAATGTGTTTTAGGAGTTAAATATAAAGATTTATATTGGATATTAAAATACACGATAGTTAACTTAGGCCCCAGTCACAAAGGCCTAAAGACTGGCTGGCAACCCTTTAGCAACCATTAGTCATGAGGGAAAAAAAGCAGTTGCTGGCAGTTGATGTGAAATCAATAGCTGAAGCCCCATTTCTGCTGGACTAGAGACAGGTTGCCAGGACCACCAGGCAGCCATCAGTAAAAGTGTGTATTCTGTGAGCAACTGAGATGTGGGACAGTTGTAAAGTGAAATTGGAAGAATATATGCTGAGCTGAAAACCTTGTGATTTCAAACTTTAACCCAGGGTCCAGAGGTCAACATGAGGTTACCAACTGGTCTCTATGCATGTGACTGAAGCTATAACTAGTATGTGGAAACAGCGGGAAATGACCAGCCTGACAAATCTCTCTATAATCACATTTTAAAGTACTAATTGAAGTAGAAATACAGATATCGTCACACAGAAATAGAAAATACATTTATATTTTGGGATTGTTAACCTCTGGTCTTGGGGATAAAAGTAAATTTTTTGTATATTGAGCTGATTTATGAATTTAAGTTAAAATTGAAATGTTCTGAAAGTGCATTTGCACATAGTGTCATGTCTATGAAGTTGATAGCACTCTTAATTGATAAGCAATTACAAGTCATATCAACTGTAAAAATATCATCAAGAGGCCAAGAATGTAATAAAATGTATTACATCGTTGCGGATTTTACCTTCATGGCCAACTGTTCGTTTAATAACAATTTGATTGACCAGGGTCATAATTGAACTGTAATTGCTCAAAGACAAACTTTTATTTTTAATGGCATGTAACTTGGGTGACTCCAACTGTGACAGTCTAATTTTTTCTCAGTAATTTTTGTTGTGAATAATATCACTTTTGGGGATATGGGATTGTCAAGCTGCAGATGTTTTAATAACTGTAATTAGAAATGACACTATAAGTGCCACTTTGAATGGAAAGCAAGAACAAGACACATTTTATTCTGTGTATGGCCACTTTCAGAAAATCATGGTGCAACGTGGCTTCATATTTTAATCAGATTTCACACTATGCATATAAACATCTGGGTCTCAATAGCACATGTTTTGAAAAAGAAAAAACTATGTCGCATAACAGAAGACAAAAAAACAAGTTTATAAAGTTCTAACGCACCAGTAGCCGACTCTCCGAGTGTAATGCAGACAGTTTTTGGTCACATGTGACTGGAAGTGGACAGAGCGACAACTGGCACCACACTCAGGGCAGATGTAAGGTGATTTGTGCTGGTGGATCCGCTGGTGTGACAAAAAGCTGCACTGATTTGGGAGAAGCATTTGGCAAATGGTGCATGTTTTCTATGGGATAAAGAAAAGACATTAAAAAATTGACTTTTTTCACCTACTATGTTTAGAAAACTGCTTCCAGAATACATCATGTTATTTAACTAAAATATTATTAATGCAAATTAATATATACTGCAGATTAAATTATTTTTATATTTCTTCCTTACATGTATCTTGGCATTTACAGTCAACTATACACTCTACCCTTTATATAGAATGCCTTGTGTTTTCATAGCATGGTATTTTCTGCGGCTTTTGTAGAGATTTTGTCAAATTGACCAGAGTTGGCAAAAATAGCTTCCCTCACATCCTGTGGTGATTTACGCATTACATACACACCTGACTTCTGGGCTCCGATGCTTGTTGATAGTGCATTGCTAGTGAGTTGTCATCCTGGAACATTTCGTTACACTCCAAGCATTTTAAGCTGTGCCTGCAGAGCTTTGATGCATCATCCTCCAACGGCATGGCTGCCACAACAGGTGCACTGCTTGGAGCTGAAATCACTGCAGGTTGGTTCCCAGCACCAGATACCTTGTCTTGCATTTGACCCGCAGGCGCATGTGCTTGAGTGGTAGTGGTGGTGCCATTAACGCTGTGTGGTCCTGCAGCTGATGTACCAATCATCTGATCTGCAGGGATGGGTTTTAGGATTAGGTGTGAACACTGCATAACCACCCCTTTGTCTTTGTGACCCCTAGCATGAGACAAGAGGCTGCATTTGTTATAGAACACTATACTTTTGGCACAGTGGTTGCAGGTGACCTCGATCCGCACACTGCGGCGCTCATAGTGCTGTGTCAGGCTCTTCTCAAGAGCAAATGAATCTCCACACTCCAAGCACTTGTAGCCAAGTGAGGGTAGAGAGATACAGGCTGAGGTTGGTGGGGAGAGGTTTGGGATGTACACAGGGACAGGATTCATGCTACTCAGGACTTTATTGAAGGCATCCACCACAGAGCTTTGAGAACTAGTGAACACTTGAACTCTAGAGACTTTCTTTGACTGCTGACTGGTGAGAATTGTCTGCTGTTTTGCTTGCTGTGATTGCTGATGTTGGGGCTGTTTGTACAAGGTGTGTTGGAGATCACAGGCAGCAGAGGACACTGTATGAGGCAGAAGGCTGAGGTTACTAAGATGGACTGTCTTTGGCACAAGTTTGGCATTTGCCAGACTAGAGGCAGGTACCATGACAGTCTGTTGTTGGATGGCATTAGCAGCTTTCAAGATAGCACTGCTGGCACTTTGTACTGATGCAGCAGGGATGACTGTTGCTTTAACCGTTGTGTTGTTAGCCAGCTTAAGGTTGATAACTTGGGAACCAGCTGTCTTGACTGCTGAGACTGGCAGGAATGCTGTTGCAACAGGTTTAATTGTCATTTGCTTGGTTATTTCAATTGAAGGTCCCCCTGTGGTGGTTAATACTGTGGTTGAAAAAATTGCACTAGGATTAGTGGTTGTCATGACAGATGTGCTGTTCTCTCTTTTTTTCAGACCCTCAGGATCAAATTCTGGAAGGACTCGGGTGACTGTACGCTTGATCTGTCCAGTTGAGGTTTTGATTGTTTTGATCCTGACCTTTGGGATAACTGGGGTGGTGTCTGTGTTTGAGGCAGGGGAACCTTTGCTGCTGCGTTCACTGGTCACACTAGAGGGGCTGTCTGGTTGTCTTGTTAGCAGTCTCTTTGCAATCTCCATGGCTGATTCCTGATCCTGTGGCTTCTCAGGGACTCTTGAATTTTCTTTGACCTGTGCTGGTTCTTGTTGTGTTGTAGGAGAATCCAAAGTACCTAAGTCTTCAGCACTAGCTTTCTTGGCACTTAGAGCAGCTATGGCTGCTATACAAGATGAAAGTTTTGTTGAGGATTTGGATTTGACTTGTGAAAGGCTGGATGGATTACCAAGTCCCGATGACTGCCCACCTTCTTGGTACTCTTTGCTATGAGACTTGGGCATTGTTTCCTCAAGTTTCCCTTCAGGTAAAGTTGGCTGAGAGAGAATCTTGAACTTACAACTTCTAAAAGTACCACTGTTATTGTTGTTAAGATCAGGCTTTTGGTCTCCATTTGTTTTGGGCTTGGAAAGACTTTCCCTTTTAGCAGATTTGGAGTTCCGCTCCCCTTTCCTAGCTGTGTGACCTCCCTGCTTGTCTCCTGGGTCTTCTACCTCAATTTTCTCATCATCATCAAACTCTTCTGTGCTGGAAATTGGGCTAAACTGATTGAAGGTACATGATTCATTGTTCATTTTCTGGCCTTCCCCTCTGGGAATTTTACATCCATTCTTCGTGTATTGAGCCCCAGTTGGTATTGTGGACACCAAAATATTATGAAGTCCATTGTGAACAGAAGGGAGTCGGGAATGGGAGTGGAAATGCCTACCCCTCTCTGATTCAGTCCCACAATGGTCACTTGTGTCTAGGTTTCGTGTGTTCTTCACAATGACACTAACACCTACATCATGTGCTGCTGAGGGGTGTTGGGCCTCATTCTCACTGTTAGTCACACCACCACTGGTTTGCTTGAGCTGTCCATCATAGTCATCTTGGTGGCCAGATTCAATAGCGGCTTTAGGATCCACCATGTCAGGGATGTCAAAGGCCGCCAGCAGGTCATCAAAGTCAGGCGTCTTCATATCTCCCATATTCCTGCTCCTGTTCCAGTGAGGTGATCACCCTAGAAAGACAAAAGTATCAAAACATTTTATTATGCTGGTCTTGGGAGCTACAACCCTTAACTCTATTGTAATTGTTCTGTTTACAAGAGTGTGCAAGTATATAAGAATTCTGATCAGGTCAGTCATACAATGATGGCATGAAGCTAGTCTTAAAAAATTGGATACGGAAGAAAATGTGTTCCATTTATATTTGTGTTTGCTTCATACATTAAATATAAATATGTAGAATTCAGTCCTATTTCTGTCATAACTTAGTAAGTTCACTAACTAGTTTTAGACAGGTACACCAGGTTGTAACACACCATCCACATAGTGTGTAGATGTGATGCTGTGATGACATTAAAAGCACTTTGTTATTAAATAAATTAATAAATAAAACAGTAATAATATTTTTGTCAAAGTGAAATAAACTAAAAGTATACCACAGTGCTGATTATGTCAATTTTAGCTCTCGTCAAGAATTTGCTGAATTATGGAATTATGCCTCAACTATATATATATGTATATATGATTTTCCTTTTTCAGTTGTCACTGCTCAGCTAAATTTTGTCTTGAATAATATGAAATAAAATGTTCACAATAAATTGGCTTAGTTAAATAATTTGTTTAAATATAAACAGGAACACTATGTGTCTGTTTATCATAATCAAATACAAATCAGGAACATATTCTTGGCAGTCAGGTGAAATGTTTTGTGTTTTGAACATCTTTTTTTTTTAGGAATCAGCCTTTATTTTTATTACAAAAACAATTTAAACTAGCTATGATTGGGCCTGTCTGAATGTAGCCTGTTATGAGTGTTGGGGACAAAAGGGACAGCTAAGCTGCTCTGCTTGTACGTGCAGCTAAATCAGTGCTGCTGTTTCATCCAAATCTACAGGAGCCAAAGTTCCACAGACAGACCCATATCCTTTAACCTGGACTTGGATTGCAAAATAAAGAATTCCCCATGTAATCCATATTGTTCGCTGGTGATGAAATGACAGAGAAAAGGAGAAATCTTATGGGGGGAGAGGGCAGGAAACATATGCAGTGAGGGGAAAAAATGGCTGCTGAGCTGTGTGAAGCTGCAGCAGAGGGAGAAAGGCCTGGTGGAAAGAACAGCTAGTCACAGCCATGACAGGCAGAACAGCTTGACGTAGAAACCAAGTGAAGGTTAAATGCAGGCAAATATGTCAAATACACAACATAGAACCCATCTTGACAACACCAGTTTAATAGACGTGCATTGTTAGCACTTGAAATCGACACAATGTGTAAAAGAGTACTAAAGTCTAATAAATAATAGAGGAAACATGCAAGTGAATCAGCAACTCCTCACCCTCTTGCCTCCGTCCCTCTCCAGCCACTAGCCAAACCTTCTTTCCTTCCTTCTTTCCATCCTGAAACAAACAAAGTCACAATACTACTAACCCACAAAAGCCATCCACCACCCCACCCTGCCTGAAAAAAAAAAGAAAAAAGTCTTGTTTCTTCCCAGCCAGGCAAAGGCCCAGAATACAGGCTCAGGTTACATCCCGCGATCTGGTGAGTGATGGTGGTCTTGGTAAAAATTGTCCTTAGATTCTCTGCACCACTCGAGCACACAGACATGTAAACAGACAACAGATAAAGCATGCTCCTATGTGTATGCATGTGTGTGTATGTGTGAGGTAGGATCTAGGCTGCAGATTCTCAAGACTCCCAGCCAGCCACGTCCCACTGCACTCGTCCCTTCCCAAGTCTCACTGCTCCCCTCACACTGAGCTGTGCTTCGGCACGCTAGCGCTCGGACATCCAGCCAGCATTTAGCAGGAGAAGCGGGGTCTGTGCTTGTGCTATGGTTGAGCTGTGATGGTCTGCCATGAAGCAGCCTAGGCTATCTCTATCCCCATGGAGCACAGAGACAGCATTGTTCCTGTGAGCACTCTGACTGCCTCAAACCGGTTTCAGCTGGTTCCGGTCACCCAGCATAAAAGCCTTCTGCTGCAGACAGAAGCAGTGTGCTCACCTCCCAGGAAGCACTGCAACAATTCTCACTAAACCAGGTCCACATTGTCAAAGATTTTATAAAAGAACAAGGATTGAGCTATTACCATTTCACAGGTGGACACTAGTCTGGTTGCTTGCACAGCTTTGAAATCAAGCCAAAAAATACAAATAATGGAGAAGAATATGATGATTGGTTTGAACACAGATGTTGAAAAAAAAAAGTAATAGATGCCAACAAGACTTAAATGGTAAAATGACATCCAAATGAGTCTTTATGATAGCTGCTTACTAATGCACTGAGAAGAAGAAGGAAGTTTAAACAATAAGGATAGTAGCCAAATCTTATACTGCAACCTTGGCCTGTTCCTCAGACCCATCCCTCAGTACTTTACCCCCAATCATGATAGTAACCCCTCTGAAAACTGAAGACTTTGATGTGGCCCCTAACAGAATTATTCCTATCACTGTGATATAATGACAGGAAGTGTAAACAAAAGTAAACATGGGCAAACAGGCCGCACATGCACCTTCCTCCCAAAATTTAATCGCGTGCCATCCCCACCACCACATACACCCCCACAGAGACGCACAGGGACATAGACATGCACTGTCATGCATATACATATGTACATATGAAAAGGTAAACTTGGCATACCCTTCTCAGATTTTTTTTCCCACTCTGAGAGATATTGAGTGGAAAAAAGTCTTCCTTTGGAGGCCTCAGCACCTGCCCTTACTCAGCCCCAACCACTTCAGCTTCCACCCTCCATCCTCAGCCCTCCCTTCCCCCTCCTCCCACTCTCCTTCCCTGGGTCAGTCCTAGCTTTCAGTCCCAGCCCAGGCCTCGTATTATCCTGAACCCCTCGCCACCACCACTACGGCCGTGCATGAAGGGACGGATGGAGTATTCAGCGGGCGAACCAGGCCTTTTGTCTCTGCCTGTGCAGGGAGTGGGGTGGGGGGAGGTGGTGAGAGGACTCTCCACTTTGGCTCTGAAACAGCAGCAGCTGGTGCAGAGAAAGAAGAGAGCGAGAGAGGGAGGCAAAAACACAGGGAGGTGGGGGAGGCGGAGAGGAAATGGAGGAAAAGGAAATGAGCGCGAGCGTATAATAAGGGTCTGATTTTGTGCACCGTGTTCATATATTTACGCTACAGAACACAAATATAAGTCAATAAATGATGTTAACACAGGATCACCGCTGATGTCCATGTTCTGATCCTGCGCATTTTTCCCCAGTGATACATAACACACAGAAACAAAATGTATAAATAGCCCAGGCCTCTGTTTAGGCCCAACGGTCTGTGTGCCGCTGCCACCCAGACTCTTGCCTGCGTTTTTGTTGTTAAACATTAAAGCACTGGCATTGATGGTCAAACAGCTGCCCAGCTTTTAACGGCACACAAAATATTCATGAGGTGTGACTGCAATGCAAAGGACGTCTGCAGACATGAGCTCAATCATCCTGATCTGATGATTCTTCTAGCCCACACAGCAAAGCACAGAAATAACATACCAATGACAAGCTAATCACAAGGTATAACATACAACATCGATGACAATACGTGTGATAAAATTGGTGCGCAAAATCAAATAGCTCATAACCTACCTGGCAGACTGCACGAAGAGGCTTTCAGCAGAATAAGACTGACTCTCTTTGGCCTGCTACCAGTCCTTGATACATCTGGCAGAGCCACCAAAGGCAGCCTCGAATGCTGCAGCTTAAACTAATTATCCTTCATTATGTAAGCACCATGCCAGATTTATTCGTCAGACAACACAAATGCATTTTTTACACTGAAAGGGGAGCTGGAGCTGAGAATGTATATTATAAAAAGGCCCTCATGGTTCCTCCTGTCTCTCTACACTGTGACAGATTCAGTGCAGGAGAGGAGGCTGAGGTTGCTCCCCACCCCCTAACACAGACAAAGTCACATGACGTCATGTTGTCTCCATTCATGCAGGGCATAAGAGGAGCTGCTAGAAGCAAGCCATCTCCTGCCCCACCAGATTTCCTGTTTGAGATATTATCACTTGAATGTGTTTTCCCAATGCTTTAAAGGGAGGCAGAAGAAACGCCAACAATGTATTCCTGATTTGTTTGACGCTTTTTCTTATTTCTATCATGTAATTATGGAGTTACATGATATAGAGTATGTAGACTATTATAAGTGGCAGCTACAAAAACATCTGACTACAGTATCACTTTACAGTAGGTACAACTGGGTACTAAAAATGAATAAAGGACATCCTAGTAGATAATGAGTGCTTCAGTACTTCCCTATAAACTGTGCAGGATGCTGTGTTTTTCTTTCTATTCTTTTTTTTAACTGGAGAACCAACTGGAAGATATGTTCAGTATTTGTTCATGCATAGTTCTAGATGAACTCTTTTATCTGCTTAATTTTTTATGGATCATTTAGTGAAACATGGTTGTTACTCAGTAGTGTCTCATTATTTAATGATTATGTCAGCAATACTGACTGTTTATGTGTGCTGAAGAAAACTGAAGCAGTATACCTAGTAGATAGTATACTTTATTGCTTATATTTACAGTTAGGTCCATAAGTTATTGAACACAAGTGTTGTGATTTTTAGCTCTGCACACCACCATGTGGATTTTAAATTAAACTATCAAGATACCATGAAGCGCAGATGTTTAAATTCAAGGTGTGTTATACATAAGAAGCACTTGGTCAGGAGAAGACACGCAGTTTCATGTTCAGGAACAGCCTGATCCTTTATCATTTCATAACAAATTAACCCTATAATGTCATGTGAATGGGTGTGTGGCAAACAGAGGGTTGACCCAGATGCAGGACTTAGCAGACTGATGTAACTCAAAACCGCAGCTTTGTTTTAACACTGGTAAAACTGTGCAGGAAACAAAAACCAAAAACAATATCTGAGCTGAACAGGAACAAACTGACTTGAGGCTAAGCAGCGGCATAAAACTCATACAGCATGAGGGAGGACACGAGAAAGAATAGAGGGAGACACAGTGTTCATTTATCGTGTACAGATAAACAGTGTAGCCACATTTACCCATAATGAAATTCTTTGGCTCGTGCTCCTCAGCTTTACATGACATATAGAAAGTGTGCAGTTATATTAAGAAGAATAACAGAAAAGCATAAAGTAATAATAATATATATAGATAAAGAAAAAAGATAGAATAATAAATAATAATAAAAGAATAAAATGAACAAACAAAATAATAAAGTAAGAGAAGAAATTATAATATTTAGAGAATTTAGACAATGTTGGTATTTACAGTTTGTGCAAAAACCTGTTGCAATGAGCATTTAAGTGGCATTTGTTGAAGTGACAGTGTGCAGAGTATAGTGAGTGTGTAATGGTGTGTGCAGAATGCTCAGCAGTTCAAAAGCCTGGATGGCTTGTGGGTAGAAACTTCTCGTGTCTGCTAGTGCGGGTCTGAATGCTGCTAAACCGCCTGCCGGACGGCAGGAGTGTGAAAAGTCTGTGGCTGCGGTGGCTGGGATCAGAGAGGATCCGCTGTGTCATACCAGACGAGACAAGGGAAGCAAAACTGAACATCACCCACATGAGACAGGAGACTATCAAAATAAAACAGGAAATAACACACACTGAGTCCAGATCAAGACAACTTGACAAACAGACATGAAGATATGACTGACAAAAGGATAAAACATAGATTATAACAGGAAAATTAAGGGATAAACTTCTTTGACTCATTTGATGAGTTAGAGCAAGCCATCATGGCATTTGTATCAAAACAACCCACTGTAGGTTCCTTATGCAATAAAATGAAAGCAATATTGTGTTTTTGTCTTTCTGAAAAGATTTCACACTCAAAACTGTGACAAACACAAAGCAAACTGTTCATTTTAATGAACGCTGCCAAAAAGACCACCATTTAAAAGTCAGTGTTCGTGACACCACTATCACACTGCTTAATGCGTCATATGACATGATACTCACAGCTCAAAACTCATATTAAAATAATTATATACTAAGCTGAAAAAATACTATATAACAGTAATAACAAAAATTAGATTGTAGACTTATCAAACAAGTAAAATCAATAGTTTCATGCCTTTTGACATCACATATTATACTTATATTGCAACTCTTAGTTCAATCACAAATTTAGTCTTCTGTAAATTCACCCCACACTGCCATCTGCTGTTTAAAATCCCAACAAAGGGAGCGCAATATAGAGCTTTACAGTTGAATGTGTTAAGATTTTTTTTTTTTATGATAAACATGGTAGGGTATGGCAACCTGTGGTGAAGAATTGCCTTTTATGCTTGAAAATTACTAGTAAAACTTTCAAAGTTCACTTTATTCCGTCACAACCTACAATTATTACTTTCCAAATACAAAATGCTGATTGATGTGGACAATTATTCTTTCAGAGAAGTCATTTAAGTTGGTTTAATTATGAGGCTGAAAGTTAAAAAAAAAAAGAAAAAAAAAAGTGACCTCTAGTACAAGTGATCAAATCCAGGCAATCAGATATGAGTAGGTGTTAGTGAATCGTTGAATGAGTTAATGAAAACCTCCTTCACTTCTCAGTGTGGGGTAATCCAAAGTTCATACTTTCACTAGGTGATAATGTAATTTCATTATGTTTTTTTCATCTTGTTCCTTTTTTTGTTGGTAAAATGTTCCAAGTGAGCAGTTAAAGTAAAAAAGGTGAAAGTGATAAATTAAACTATGGCTTTATGAATGATTTTACGGAATAACCTCCAACTGAACCTTGTATTTCTTGCATCTTGCATATTCCTGGTCTTTTTTTTACATTTTTCTTTCTGTTACATGAGCTTGTTTTCTTCCATAAAAATAAACCAACAAATATTTGATAAGACGCTGCACTGCGCGTCCTATCTGTCGCTGCCCTTTAAACATAGGTGACTCATCCTGCTTTGTTAAGGTCATTCTTGAACAAGGATATGATATTAGGAGCCATACGCACTCGAATTTTCTGCTGGGTTGTGTGTGGACTTATCCAGATGGAACCCTTAGTCTTTTCAACACAAAACTGTATTTCCCTGCATGGAGTCCTTATCTGTCCTCATCATTTCTGTACCTCCAGCAATCTGTATGTCAATAAAGTCATGAAAGGGATCAGTCAAGCACGAGAATTTCACACGGGTACATACGTGGGTGCCTCACTGTGTTTGAGGACTGCCTAATTCACACTGCTGACCTTTCCGTGCTCTGCAATAAAGTGTGCCAATAAATTAGTTGGACTCTTCATTAACAAGATGGCAGATGTAAGTAAGCCCACAACAGGTGTCAAAATATTCATCACTCTTATTCATGGCATCTTGTAAGAGCCGTTGGTTTTATTTCATGTGTGTGCATAATTTTCTGTGATTTGAAAATAAAGCGATAGTTACAAATTGTTAACATGCAGAAAACGTGAAGACAATTCGGTGTTGTGCAAAAGGAAGAAGTAAAAGTTGAAGGATTTCCTCCTATGTTTTAGCACACAGTCACTAATCTTGTGTTAGAGTAGTGTGCGTTTTGTGCTGCTGTATTTGGCTCCAGTTGCTTGTGAAAATAATTCCTATATTTGCATTTCAGCACATTCCTTTGCTTTACTTTTGGATTGTATTTACATTTCAAGGAAATTCCCTTGAAAATATAATATTTTTT